TATGAAGCCTAGGCAGGGTTTAGTGTCGTTCCTCCACGAAGAGGGGGAGCGACAAGAATGATGCCCATTCCTGGCCAAATGCAGGTGTACGCGTGTGTGTGCGCATGTACATGCATCTATGGGTAGCACTGTTTGGCAGGGGACTGTGTACACACAATAAAGTGTGATAACAGCATCATTTATAAAGTGACCATGCAATTTGTAACCCAAACAGGGACACCTCTGGACAAATGCTGAAATCTGAACAACAAGCATAAATGGGGGACCCCCAGGGAAGCCAAGACAGGCAGTCACCCTACATATTGTCTGGCATAGGGGGAACAAGGTCTCCTCACAATTCCCAAATGGCCTTTTCACACCCGTTCTTGGCTTCTTCTGGTTTCCAGCTTGGTCATCCCTTTGTCTGAAAAGCCTTCCTTGTTCCAGCAGGCTGAATCCTCCTCATATGTTCTCCTGGCCCACAGATCTCTGCTTCCAAGCACATATCTCTGGGATAACTTTACAAGCAATTGTACTGTCATTTTGTTGTGGGTCCACCTCTCTCACACAGTGAAGATGGGACCATCTGTGATGGTTTTTCTGTCATGTATGGGTATTCAATGAATACTGGAGGAGTAGGCTGAGTTTTGGGGCACTGTGTTGGTTAGCCAAGTGCCTGGCTAAGAAGTGGGGTTGGTGGGGGAAGTGAGGAGGAAAGAGGGTGTTCTGGCTGGTGAGCCCAATGGGTAGAGATCAGGCGGTGGGATGGTGCATGTGGGAAGTCCAGATAGCTCCGTGTGGTGGATCCTGGGGAAGAGATCGTGAGAAGAGGTCACAGCCTGGTGTATTGTGAACCACACCGTGGACTCCAACACAAAGCCACTTTATTTTTCTTTTCACATGTGGGATTTGACTTGGTGACCTCTATGACATCAGCAAATAGCCCTTCCTTGCAGACCTTTTGCTGGTCTAATTGTTGAAAGATGTTACTCAGAATCGTCCTTACTTCTTAATGATCCTTATCAGGATCCAGATTTCTCCGGGTTTTGGGTTAAAAATCAAACAACTAGGCAAACTCGTGAAAGGGGCTAGGGCTGGTTCCAGAAGTCGGGCTGCTTACACCATGTGCCAGAGCAATGCCTGGCTTTGGAAACAGACTCACGCACAAAGCCTCTCCGCTGCTTAACACCTGGGACAGCAGCACCCTGTGATTTATGGCACTTCAGGAAGGCGGCCTCTCTCCAATGCATCAGGTACAAACGAGATGACCAACGAGCACTCTTTCGGGCTCTGAGAGTTTGTGGGCTTATAAAATATGCATTAGACAAATACCATCTCTCATTTCTCTCCGTCTACAGCTATTTTGTTAAAAGTGTGCTTTCTTACCCCTCGAAAAGGTTGTTTTTAGTTCAAGATGTGAGACATCAATCCGGGGAGGCCAGAGCCCCAGCAGTCTAATAACACCTTGGCTTCCCCATAGCACCAAAGGCATGCGGCTCCTCAAAGAGGCACAAACTGGAGTCGCCATGTCTGCGAGCCTCGGAGCCATTTCCTTAAGTGTGCCATTGAGTTCCTGTGATCTCAGCCGCTCATGCATCCTCTGAATCCCATACCGGCCCGAAATGGCATCATGTAAGAGCTCCCAGGTCGTGTCTCCACCCGTTCCCTCGTCATCTCGGCTGAAGCGACCCAGGTGGCAGAGGGAATGAGAACAGAGGTGTGGCTCCGTGGGCAGGGCGAGAACTTGCTAATGAAGTAAAGAGCCCCATTTCCCTGGATCTGAAAAGAAGGCTTCTCAGAGAGGCACCTAGAAGAAATCTTATTCCAAACTAAATGGCCTTCCCACCAGCCTGGATCGAACCCAGGCAGCTTGTAACAGCAGGGGGTGGGCAACTGGGGCTCTGCAGACCTGCCATTGAAGAGGGCCTAATGAGTCCAGACCCATTTCTAGGAGCTCTGCCCCCTTTTCTGCCCTGGCCCTGGAGCCTCACAAGGATTTGCTTTCCTTGCTGAGATGTGGTACATTTTCAGACCTGGGCCTTTGGATCATCCAGCCAAGTGGTTTTCAAGCAAGCTCCACACTAGAACAACCAAGGGGAGTTAAAAGCTGCTGAACCCCAGGCCTCTGCCCAGACCTGCTCAACAAGAGGCACTGGAGGAGGCCTGGGTATCTGCATTGTGATGAGCAGTGAAGATTGGGTACTACCAATCTCATCACATGGCCTCATTTCTAGAATGAGGACTCTGAGGGCCAGAGAGGAGAGGACGTGATCCCAGGCCACACAGCAAGGCAGTGGCAGAGCCCTGGTCTCCTGGCTTACTGGTCCTTTCTATGGCCCAGGGCTATACCTGTTCTGCCTTCACAGAACTGTGGGTGGATGAAATAAGATGAGGGGAAGCAGAAAGGTGCCTGACAATATTGGCATGTCTAACGCACATTTGGAGGGCTGCCAGCAGGGGCCTCTTTGAGCACTGAGGAGACTCTGGGGAAGTATTTGCCCTAAGGGACGAGATGGATGACATACCTGAAGGTGATCCAAAGATCAGGGTCAGACTGCCGGATGGGGTGAAGAAGTGGACTTACATGACCTGCTGAGCCATATTTGATTAGGATAAATCACTTGAAACTGTGTTGCCTGGCCATTCTGACCTAGAAAAATGGCAATTTGACGTGATTGGATGTAATAGTTCCAGCAGCAATAAAAAGGAGACTAGAAGACCCAGCGACTGCCAGAGGCTGAGGCCTCAACTGCGGTGTATCTTTGCAGAATCTCTCGGCCGCTATGCTCTGTTGCTGCTTCTCTCTGTTGCCTTGGCCATGGAGGCACAATCTGAGTACACAGAGCAAGGAGCTGGAAACTCAAATCAGAAAATTGATGCCAAGGTGACTAAGGCCTGGGGACCTTGTCCCTGGTTCTTTGACTCATTTTATTGTATTAGGTAATAAGCATATTTCATACATATTTTTTTCTTCTTGGATAATTCTCTGAAATCTGTTTTCCCACACATGAAATGGAGGGAGGCTATGATCTTGTGGAGCCTTTCCTGTCTCCTTAATTCTGATCATCTACTAACCATAGTATTTTACATTTGCAAAGCATTCCTAATGTCCAAAGACATCTTTATGGTTGTTATACGGTTTGATACTTTCTACAACCTGATGAAACAGAAATTATCATCCCTGACTTTAGATGAAGTAACTGAGACCCAGAGTCTCCATTTACAATTTTTATTCTTGCGTGTTTCATTAATTTTGCTTTGTCTGGGTGACAACCAGTAAGTCCTTTGGCAGGGACAGTGGGAGTGACCAACTTGACCAACATGTAGAAATCTAGAGGCTGCCATGCCTCCCACCTGACTGCCTCTGTAGGGTGAATCTTTTCATTCCTTAAACTAGGATGCTTATGGGAGCCACAGTTCAGCCTCCCCAGTGCTGATTCTCCTCCCCTCGAGTTGCACTCTCGAGTTGTTGCAGTATTGCCATTGCCATTTCCTCCACACCTGACGCAAGGTGCTGCATGTTCTTAAACCCCATAAGTAACTCTGCCTTTTAAGACCAACAAGCCACACTAGCAGCTACCCCCAATCCAGGGGGATGGCTGACAGACCCTCTGTTCAGGGAGCTGTCCTGCCACAAGGGCTGGGGAAGTGTCACACGGACTGATACCCCTTCCAGGTACACACAGATAACAGCACTCTTCCTGTGACTTGGGCGGGCCTTACGAGCACCCTTTGGTGGGATATACCCACCAACTCTTTCCTCTACGGAAAGCATAAAGCAGAAACCCTTCAAAGAGGGATGTGCTCCGTGATTTTTTTTGAATGGAGTCAGCTAGGAGGTCAACTGCATTTGTCAGAACATTTAAAGCAATATTGTATGGGCTGGCTGAGAATTCGGAAATCTGCAAAAGGAGGCTTCCTGCCAGGCGGGGGCCTGAACTCCTCAGTAGGAGAGCTCTTGAAGCGTTAGGGCTGTGAGTCTCTGCTCTGGGGCCAGCTCTTCAGAAGTTGGAAGATGGCATCCGGGGGAGCTTTGACGGGGCATGCGTGTTGGGTGTTCCTGCCGAAGGGCTGTGTCAGCTTGCAGGGCCGAGGCCACGGTGACAATATGCTTTACACCATGTGTGTTTGCTTCTCTTCCTGTGACCCTTAGGGATACTATTTTTCATATAAAATGTCTCAACCCCTTATCCCACAGCTGCTGTGATCACTTGCTAGGCTCTAGACAGAGGCCTCTCCCTCTGTCTTCCCCTGAGGGCAGGCCTGGACTCTTAGGGCTTTCCCTTACCAGAGCCTACATGGGGTTTCTGAGAATTTTCTGTTTGGTTGGTTCTCCACTTGAGTGTGGAAAAACTACAGCCTCTTTTCCTGCTTCAGGAACAAGTAAGTAATGCTGGTGTTTGGACCAGCTGAGCAGGGCTTGTCAGAGTTGTGATTATTTTGGGAGTTGGGACTTTGCTAGGTGACAAGGCCTCTTGCTTCAGATCCAGGGAGTATCCTGAAGCACACTCTTCAAAGACAAAAATGTTTCTTCCAGAATTTTCTGGTTGGGATTACTAAGAAATAAACCCTGCTACATTGACTAAAAATGTGGTTTTTAGTATTTTTTCAAATAAACTGGTATTTATAAATTTCTCGTCATATTTGGGGTTGTGAATCTTCTCTAGTGGTGCAGGTAAAGAAAAATTGTTAGTGTATACTAGGTGGCTTTGCAGGACATCTTGGTTTTGTGATTCTGACAGGCAGGACATGAGTTGTCTGAACACACTTCCCCTCGGAAGCAACCTCAGTCTGTTGCAACACATGGAGCCTCTCGGCGGGTGCTTAGCTTCTGCCTGCTCCACGTCCCAGGGGCTGCCTCGGTCATCTCTGGGGAACTGGATGCTAGAGCTGCCCCAGTGTCCCCGGGGGCCCCACCTGGAGCCCTTACTGATGGCTGATTTCTCTCTCCAGCTGCTTTCAAAGAGACAAATGGGTTCCCCTCCCAGGAAAATACTTACCCAGCTTCTTATTTTTGACAGATCCTGCTGGAACTAACTGACTGGTGAGATATGGTATAAGTCCTGGGAGAAGCTTCACCCATCATTCTCATCCAGGGACCAACAAGGGAGATGAGAGTTAAGTTGTCTCTGTTTACCTCCATCTTCAACCAGGTAAAGCCATTTGTTGCCTTTGATTTTTAACATTCAGAGTAGTGCCCTAGTGCCTGTCTGCCTGTGTGATTGTTGAGAGACGTGAGAGAACCAGGAGTAGGGGCTAGGACTAGGGATGGTGGTTGCCTAACTTTTATAGTAATATTCTGACTATTGTATTTTATGAAATCTATTTGAGGAGAGAGATAGAGCTCTTATCTCCTGGCTCATTCCCCAAATATAACAGCTGGGGCTGAGCCCAGTTGAAGCTGAGAGCCAGGGACTCAATCTAGGTCTCCCATGTGGGTGTTAAGTATCCAGTTGCTTGAGCTATCACCTGCTGTCTCCCAGGGTGCTCGTTATCAGGAGTACAGCTGGGACTCAAATAGAAGTCCTCTGAAATGGGATGGAGGCATCCCAGCTGGCCTCTTAGCCACCAGACCAAAGGCTTGCCCCTGTTATGATCATTCTACAGGGATAATGTATTCATATATCACTTGTGCACTTAAAAATTAAACAATAATTTGAATACTTTCAATCTTAAACACTAACATTAACAGATATCCTGGATACAATGAATTGCACTGAATTGAACTAAACCCAACCAACAAGGCTTTGGTGATTTATAAGACAATTTTCCCTCTCATTTTCTCTTGTCTTGGAGCAATGGATATTAAATCATATCAAACCACTTTTATCCAAATTGTGCCTTGGTAAATGTGAAACTTGTCTTCTTAATACCTGATGTGACAAGAAATCCCAAGGAATTGATCATAATACACTCCTGAAGTGGTATTACATGGCTTATTTGCAAATTGTTTGGTTATTCTTACATATTTATTTCTTCAGATAATCTTCAAAATGATTTTTTTTTTCAAATTACCTACTAAGGACTCATGGACTTTGATTAACATTGCTTTAAATGTATTGTTTTAATTTTTGGTAGAATTGGCATTTTAGCTATGGTGATGCTTCTCGTCTTGTGCATCTCTTCATTCCTGACTTTTAGGTTCTCAGAGTTCTATAACAGTGTTTTGCACATTTGTTAAGTTGATCCATAGGTTTCTTAATTTTGTGCTGCTGGTGGTAATACCATTTTACTTTCCTATTTCGTTTCTTAACATATAATCGATGTTACAGTCATGAGACTCCCTAATTTATTCTACAAATATGAATAGAGAAGTCATTTATTTTGCATACTGACATTATAACCTGTGCCTTTAATGACTTCTCTTGTTCTTAATAGGTTTGGGGTTTTAGGCAAATGTCACTTATTGTGGTAATTGTGAGCCTTCATTTAAATTGTAATTGTGATGTTTTTAAAACACATATGCAAAATCTCTGATGTGTTTATTAGGGGGATGAGTCTATGTCCTCATTCATGGATCTAGAGCTGAGCTCAGTGAATCCATTACATCCAATAGAATCCAACAGAAGTTAGCCTGTGGGACTTCATATGAATTGTGATGTTTTCTCTTATTTGCATTGCTTTGGAATAGTATATACTGCATAAGAATTTTTTTGGCTTGAAAGTTTGAACAAGGTCACCCATGAAAATATCTTCTATCTCCTAGGGAAGATTAACAACTTAAAATTATTTTCCTCTGATAATTGGTCTACTTAGATTTTCTATTTCTTAAGCCAATTTTGCTAACATTCATACATTTCCAAAAACATCGATTTGATCAAGATTTTAAAATTTACTAGAGTGCTTCACAGTACACTTTTTATAATGCTGTGTAATTTCATCATTCACGATTATATCCCTGATGTGTTTTCTAATTTAGAGTATTTGTGTTTGATCGTGATTAGACTTGTCAGCAATTTGTTTTGTTGGATATAACAGCAAACACCAAAAGTTCTTAGTTTCAGTTACCAGGCCTAGCATTTTTCTGCATTTGTATTTACTGTAAAATGTCTCCCTTCTCTTGGCAGGGACTTGAATTCATAGGCAGGCGCTTTCTCTGATTTATCAAAGTGAACCTCTGCTTTTGAACTCCCGTGTCTTTTCATGTGTCTGGGATGTCTTCCTGCTTGTTCACCCTTCCAAGGGCAGCTCTGAGCTTGCTCAGAGTTGGAAGCTGCCAGAGTCCCGTGGAGGAGCCAGAGGAAGTAGGAAAGGGATGCCGATTTTCGCTGGTCCTTTTTCTCTGTGTTTAGAAACCAGACAGCCTTGTGGGAGGCGGGGTGAGGGGTATTAGGGAGAGGGCTGAACCACAGCTGGTACAGGGAACTAGCACAATGAGCTTCATCAGCATGAAGAGATTAGTATCTGCATTTAACACTGGCTGGAACACCCCCCTTAACCCATCACCATATTTTCCTGACACAGTTTCCTCCATGGGCACTAGCTGCCCACATGCTTTGTCGGGAGCCACGTCCTGCCAAAGGTAGGCCAGGAATAAAACCTGGAGCAGGCTCCTGACTATATGCATGGATCCTGGCTCAAGATAATCCCTCACTCCACTGGCCAGCTACCCTGCTGTCCCAGGGCCCACAGGCGGGTCCTATAAAGGACCCCTTATCATCCTTTTCACTGTTGATTGGGCAGACTTACCAGCTACTTTCAACAAAAACATGGGGTATCAGAATTCCTATTCCCAAATGTGTGTAGCAAATTAACAGTATGACACAAACGATGAACCTAGAATATGAGTAAACCTCTATCCACCAGAGCCACTTCGCATTTTTGTCCCTGGATTAGAAGCTTAACTGGACAGCTGGTGGCCCTCTGTGAGTGTTGGCATTAACAGCTGGAGGATGGGATATTGTCTGTAGTTTAAGCCTAGTTTCCCAGCTAGTACCCCCTAAGAGCTAAGTCTGCGATGATGTTTCTTTAGAACTGTGAAGCCAGGGAGCAGTGATGATGGGAGCTATAAAACTGGGAAGGAGAAGGGAGGCATTGCAAGCCGTGCTGTAGAATTGGCTACTTCTGGAAGGGTCTGTTTGCTCGTTCAAGGACCATTTGAAAAGTTTCATGAAACATAGTCAGGACTGTCTTCACAGGAAAGGAGGAAGCATTTGTCAACAGGCTCCAGTCTCTTGTTGGTCAAAGGTTGCACCACGAACTGTTGACTCCTCCATGTTACTGGGTGGTGCACACATGAGTGGGTGCTAAGTGGGTCCCTGAGGGCAAGTGGGAACAAAACATCCAAAACTCTGGGGCAAGAAGCAAGAGACAGAGTCAGAGTGGAGGCATCGTGGATTTTCTGTTTGTGAAATCTGTACAAATCTGCTTGCAAATGACCACCACAGCCACAGAGAAGAGAATATCTGAAGTGGTGCATGATAGGTATCTGCTTTATCTGGTCTTGAACAATTCAGCTAACGGTGGGGCTGCCTCTCTCAAACAGATGGGGGCCATGAAAGTGAAAATCCTCAGCATGAATCTCTACACAATTTACTTGCCATACTTCCTCCCATAGTTTTTTTTTTTTTTTTTTTTTAATTTATTTGACAGGTAAAGTTAGTGAGAGAGACAGAAAGGTCTTCCTTCCATTGGTTTACCCCCCAAATAGCTGCTATGGCTGGTGCTGCGCCGATCCGAAGCCAGGAGCCAGGTGCTTCCTCCTGGTCTCCCATGCAGGTGCAGGGCCCAAGTACCTGGGCCATCCTCCACTGCCTTCCTGGGCCACAGCAGAGAGCTGGACTGGAAGAGGAGCAACCGGGACTAGAACCCAGTGCCCATATGGGATGCCAGCGCCGCAGGCAGAGGATTAGCCAAGTGAGCCACGGTGCTGGCCCCCATAGAGGTTTTTCTTAACAACATTTCCTCTCCCTGGAGATAGAAGTGGACAACTGGCCAATTTCTTGAGTAAGCATGGCCCTTCCGGAGCAGGCCCTAGCAAAGACAGAACCACTTCGTCCTCTTTGAGGCTCCTTTCCATCTTTAGGTAGCAAAGCACGACTCAGAATCCACTGTTGGTTATGATTCTCATTTTGGCTTCCTATGAGTTGAAACTGGAGGAAATTTCTTTGAGACCTACACGATGGTCTGGCTGCCAGGTGTCATCACAGGTTTGCAGTTTTGACTGTGTATTTCTTTGGTATTTTAAACGAAAGGGGGCTGAGATGGAGTTGGTTCTCACTATAATCTGGGGCTGGGTAGGGGATTGCATCTTGTGCTCGCCTTGCCCTACAGTCGGGAAAGAGTGGATTCACCTTCTATTGAAGCACATGCAGCTGTTAGGCTCCTCCTCATTCAAAGGAGACTATGAGCCTCTTCCTTGCTCAGCTAGTCCTTAAAGCCAGGCTCCAAAATCGATGGAGAACTCAGAACAGCTACTTTGTAATTGGGACAAAAGCTTCCACCTAGCTTGTGGACACTCAAGAAAGGAATGTGACACTCATGCAGTATAATACTCAGACTTCTGCAAACCCACAGCTGGCCAGGGTCTGATTTGTAAAGAATGGTGTGTAGGTGGGGCTGGCGCCGTGGTGCACTAGGTTAATCCTCCGCCTGTGGTGTGGGCATCCCATATGGGCACCGGTTCTAGTCCTGGTTGCTCCTCTTCCAGTCCAGCTCTCTGCTGTGGCCCAGGAAGGCAGTGGAGGATGGTCCAAGTGCATAGGCCCCTGGACCTGCATGGGAGACAGGGAAGAAGCACCTGACTTCTGGCTTTGGATAGGTGTAGCTCCAGCTGTTGCGGCCATTTGGGGAGTGAACCAACGGAAGCCTTTCTCTGTCTCTCTCACTGTCTGTAACTCTACATGTCAAATAAATAAAATCTTAAAAAAAAAATGGCGTGGCACAGCACCTTCATTTTGGCCCTTCACTTGAGAGCTTCCACCAAGATGTTCTATGATGTGAGGCCATCAGCCTTCAGGGAGGGAAATAGGTCTTGCTCAGGAGGTTGTTGAAGCCATTGTCATTAAGAAAACACATGGAAAGAGAATCTGTAGCAGGAATGCCTTTAAAAAAAAGATTTGAGAGAGACTGACTGAAAAAAGTCTTCCATTTGCTAGTTCACTCTCCAAATGCCTGCACCAGCCAGGGATGGGCCCGGCAAAAAACAGAAGTCAAAGTCCATTGGCGTCTCCCATGTGGGCAGCAGGGACTCATTTACTTGGGTCATCATCTGCCTCCCAGGTACATTAGCAGGAAGCTGGATCAGAAGCAGAGCAGTTGGGACTTGGGGCAACACTCTGATGTGGACATCTCAAATGTGCCACCCTTGGAAGGCTTCCATTCATGAACAGCTGTCCATTTAATTTTTCATTCTGGACATGGAGTTGATTAACCGGCTATGTTTCCCTTTCCTGGGAGGATGGGCAATACCAAGTTCTTAATAACTTTTAATCCAGGCATTAGGGTATGACTTTGGGGATATGACCTTATTCCTGGCATTATCTTCTCTGTCCTGCCCTCGTTTTCTTATATTTCATTTTGTCCATCTTTAAAAATAATTGGCTTTGATAAGCAACAAAGTAAATTCAGAAAATATAGGAAGTTACAAAGAAGAAAATGACTCGTTCTCTGTGATAAGAATCAATGTTAATATGCTGATAGTTTTCATGTATTTATAGAATCGATTTATTTTCCTTATCTGTGCATCTATATTTCTCTACGCATCCGTGCACTCCAGATGCTCTTGAATAATTACACTTCATTCCAATCCCTGTTCCATGAACTATGAAGCCTCTTCAATTTCTGATAATTTCCATGGGGATTATAAGCCACTGCTCCTCTCTGTCTCTGGTTGCTCAGTTTCCGTGCGTCATCACTCTGTGGGTGCCATGTCTCTACTGCTTGTCAGTGCACATTCCAGCCTTTAGTTCCTTTGGTAAATTTCATAAAGCCACTTAGGCCAAATCCTTACGGACTTGATACATTTCAAGTTGTCAGCTTTTCTAAAATGAAAGTGATTTCCTTCCCCTATCCCACTGGCTTCTCCATTCCTTTGTTTTCTTCTTTCCACCCACAAACCCTAACAGAAGACATAAAATCCCTCGTCTCCTGCATGGGACATACTGGTGACCCCACACTATGTACCTGTGTATTTGAGGACTTAAGGTCTCCTGCAGTTTTAATGGAAGGTATGAACCCCTTGACTTGGAGGAAGATCTTAAGTGAAAACAGAGCTCTAGTCAAGGAGCTCCTAACTGTGGTATGGGCTGGCACTTGGAATCCAACTACACAGGAAGGCCAGGCTGGGACCCACTTTGGGTTACCAACAGGCATACAGACATAATGCCACTATTGCCAGTCCCTCTCTAGGGCTGAAGCATATAAGGGTGGTGCCCCTTACTGTTTTCATTTATAAATTGTTTTGAAAGGCAGAGACAGATGAAGTTGGGGGGAGAGACTCCATTTGCTAGTTCACTCCCCAAATGCCCACAATGGCCAAGGCTGGGCCAGGATTGAAGCTGGGAGGTGGCAGGAGCCCAGTTACTTGAGCCATCACTGTTGCCTCCCAGGGTCTGCAGGAAACTCGGAGGCAGGGTGGAGCTGGGCCCCAAACCCAGGCACTCTGCTATTTATAAGCAATCCAAACCTCTGTGCCAAATGCTTGTATCCATTTGACTGTTAATGTTGGTTTAAAAGCTGGGCTGACTTCCTTAGCATCACTGTGATAAGGCCTGAATCTTGAGGTACCCAAACTTTGGGCTCATGAGTACTGTGAAGGTATACAGGAAGATAAGAAATATTTAAGAATGTAGTATTTCCATGGAAATGTGACTGCAGCATGTTAAAAGAAGCATGTCTAAGAAATATATATATATATGTGTGTGTATATATATAGTCTGATGCCATTTATGTAGCAAATGTGTATATGCTTTATACATGCATGGAAAGATGTGACATGGCATAAATACATTAATAACTGTCTTTCAGAAGTGAGAACTTTCATCTTAGTCCTCAATTCTGTGTTGAGTTCTTTCAAGTGAGTATGTGCTTTTACAACAATGCTTTAGAAGGTATTTCCATTTTGGAGAAATGATTTTAGTGTTGTTTTTTCCTTCCTTCTAATTCCTTTTCTCAGTGTCATCTATTAGATCTACAGCCAAAGAATAAAAACAGCAGGCAGAATAAATGAGTTTAACATGACCAAGGACAAATGACAAGATAAACCAGCTGAAGGATGCCAGGTGCCCCAGTTAGGATCTAAGTAGGAAACATGTTTCGTCTCCATACTCTGTGGCTCAGGGGATCTGGGGGATACAACATCTGGGTCCCTTAGAACAACTTGCCAGAGTGCCCAGGAATGAAGAATAAAATAAACCCTGGACTCTAGTCCTATGGGTCAAGTTTCCAACTCATGCTTCTAATTGGACATATAGAACTTGGGAAGCAACAGACTGCAAGGGGTCAGTTCTAGTTGTTTGTTCTGCTCATCCAGAAGACAGAAAGCATGTGCATCCAACTCAGACTGACAGCCTCTACCTGCCTAGCTTGAGAACTGCTCTTTCCTCTTGGGCTCCTGTCTGTCCCTTTCTAACAATATTTAAGACAGTTCTTATCTAACTTCAGGATATATCATCAGGGACACTTGTTAGGCATGCAGATTCTTGGATCTCATCCCAGACCTATTGATTCAGACTTGGCATGTCTAGAAGCTTCCCAGGTGAAATGATGTTAGGTGACTTATGAACCACACTTTTGAGATGACAGAGTTCAAGGCTGCATCAGGCACTACTGGTTTGGTACCTAATCTCAGAAATGATTGGAAAATTATTGACAGGTCTAGGACAAGAGGCAGAATCCCTGTTCCTGAGCCTCCACTTTCTCATCTGCAAATGGAATAATTCCTATCTCCTGTGTTGTAGTAGTGATGATTAAAGTTAAATTATAAATAAACCTAGTTAACGATAGGTTGTTTTCTTCCTCCTTCCACTTTGATTTGTCCTCTTCTCACCCGTACTCAACCTCAGGAAGACACCAATACGAATATCTTAGGAAAACAGGAATCTCAGGGTCACAGCTTTATTGTATAGATTTTCAACACAGCCATATTACAAACATTGTCAGGGAACATTTACAAGAATAAATAAGATGGACTTGCAGGTGTAAAAAGATTACACTTCACTGTAATGTACAGTCAAAAAATATATCTGATATTCATTGACCTGACATTATTTACTTTCTGCTTTTTTTAAGCTAGAATTGGAAAGGAAAAGGAAAGAAAAGAGCATTGACAGCACAGTGCTGGCTTTTCAAAGACTTCACTTGTTTTCTCTTCTCGTACGTGCTTTATCTATCAAACACCCAAACTATACACGTGCAGGCTGTTGGGATTGGTGGAGGAGGCTGAAAACTATATGGAGACTTTGGTCTCATGCAGTACACTGTGCCCAGTGGATATTAAAATGTCAGCCTCGCTGGAGTTGAGTGGGGACCTCATGATAGCCCTTGGAGAGCTATGAGGGTGTTCCATAGCCAAGGCAATGATAGAGGCCCCGACTCTTTGCCTTTGATTTGCTAATAGGAAATAGGGTGTAAAGAGAAGGTGGACAAGAGCTTTTGAATCTGATATCTAATAGAGATTTGCTTGGGTTAATCTGGGCTAGCCAAAGAGCCACCTGGAAAGAACAATCTGTGCACTGGAAATCATGATAATGGCATGTCAACTGAGTCACTGTGCTTTTACTTTTAAAATCTCCTCCAACAGGCTTTGATTTGGGGAGTTGGGATAGTTAACTTCTAGCGATGTGTTTCTGTTCCAAGCCCTGCTGGGACCTTTATTGTTTCTGAATGCCACTGATGGCCTTGTCGGCCAGTGGGTTAGGCCATGTCTACTCCCATCAGATTCTAGTAGACAGCCAGTCTATGGCAAAGCAGCTGTTCTCTTGGGCTTGCTGTTGATGCATTTCAGCCTGGATGAGCCCAGAGCAGCATCTTGGCCTGTGTGGTGGGGAGGCTTGGTCAGGAGAGCAGGAAGTTTCATCTTGAACAATGCAAATACTATGCTTGGCTTTGTGCTCTACAGATATGAATGAGTTCAAACATGATCCCAGCTGCATGAGATATCGCCTATGTAGGGAAGAAGCAAGATAAAGGGCCATCTCATCAGTGCTCTTTCTTCCCTTTAAAGAGACACTTGGCTTCTGCTGCAGAGCTCCTGAGATGGGCAGCTTATCCTCTCTGGCAGTCAGCAAACTCTTCCTTACGAATACAGCGTTTCACTCGTTGGTTCTGGTTCCCCTCACAGGAGTGACCTGGGGCTAGCAACTGTGCTTGGCTTTGTTCAATCTGCAGTTGTATGGAGGATATTGGCCCTAATATTCTACTTGACTTTGCAGAAACCTGTTTACCTAGGATGACACCACTCTGCCTCTAAACCTCCAGACTGCCCTGGGGACTTTGACTCAAAGAACACCTTACATCATTAATCTTCCAAAGGCAAGCCACAAGGGCAGGGTAGGCATTGAGAGTTTGTTAGACCATCACATAGGAAGCCCACTGATTTGTATTCACAAGCCCAAAGGCATTGACACTCTCGTGCAGTGACTCAATTTTGCAATCTGGGTAGGTTACTTCTCGCTACCATTATTTCACAAAGTCCCACTCACTAAGGAGCCATGAATTGTCCCAAACTTTAGGATTTCAGACCAATACTTTCCTATCCAACAATCCAAGGCCCCAAGGCCTTCATTATTTGAAAATTCCAACCAAGGATCAGGTCTATATCCCTCCACTCAGAACAGTGGAAGGAAGCTTCATGGTGATACAGCCCCCAAAGCTTTTCCTATTGGATCCTCTGCCACACCAAGTCCTCCCACATTCCTTCTATCAGCCCCAATGGGCCACCATCAAGATCTTCAATGGCTGGGCTGCCAGGCCTTGGGCTGCCATTGTGGGTGCTGATCCTTCCTCTTGGAGACAAAACATTCAAGGGTGGATTATAGGGGGTTTGTGTGGCTCCTTAGATTACCTTTGCCCATCTCTTCTGGAGGTGGTCAGGGAGCATGCAAGAGATGGTATTCATCTTTAAGACAGTTGTACAATCAGCACTATGCAGAAGTCTAGCCCTGGTTACCAGGATACTGGAAGAAACTTCCTCGTGTATTCAAATATGGCTTAGACATCTCTGCTATTCTTCTGAGGACAATGTTCATGACCCTGAAATGTGTGTCAAAGGAAACTGCAGGTAGAACAGCCTCTGCCCCCCACAGCACACTTCAGCACTGACCCCTCTCTCTGCTGTATATGACCTAAAAGGTGGGGGAAACCAAAGCCTCACATTTCTTGACTTCTAGGTATATATACCTGGAAAATCTCCTACAGGGAACCCTTCAATGAAAGTATATGAACAAGGCTGTATCACAGCTGGCGTCTTCTAGGTAGATCCACTTTTCCTATTTCCCTGTTGTATGTGGCTATGATTTGGAGCTGGTCAGAGACTGAGAAGGAGCTTATAATGGTTGGGTGACGTGGAAGGCAAGTCAAAGCTGTAAGATGACATGGCCTTCCCTGTTTGAACTTCTCATAGGCTCTTCAGCTTGTGTTGATTATTTGTCCTTGGGGGTCCTGGGCCAGTACAACCTATTGACTTGATAGCTTAGGATCAGAATCCTGTTCGTTCTTACCCTTGGGTACACTTCTATTTTCCATAGTATTACTCTTGATTTAGTTGGGTGCTGAGTGGGCGGCTGTAGGCTAAGGAAGAATGGCTTTCTCCATTCTGTCCTCAGGCAATCAAGTGCAGGGGAATTATTTCCCTCAGTGTCTCTGGGTCAGGTTGGGAAGTCACTGCCGCAGAGATGACAGGGCAGGTGCCTGGCTGCTCCTCTCTGGGTCACATTTTTCTTGGCTGCAGAACCCTAGCTATACCCAAACCTCTACACACTCTACGGGGGTTCACACTGAGCTGAGGATACGTGGATCCTGGTGAGAACATACAGCAGGAGCTAGTGAAGCATCCAGGATTGCAGGATGAACAAGCAAGATTGGCCAGAGGGGAAATTATCTTTTTCTCTAAGATACTGAGAATTGTGCCAAAGCTGCACCTTGTTCCAAGTGGTTCTGGTGGGTCCTTCCCCATTCATTGTCCTGCTCTGTCACAGAAGAGAACACTGCTCAACAGCCCATTCACATCTTGGTTCTGAGTATTCATGGGATGCCAATTTGCTAGTCTTGTCTCCCTGATTCCCTGTCTAAACTTCTCCAAATCTATTTTCACATTGATTGGCCCAACATACTATAGCCAAGAAACATTCTATAGCACAGCTGAGATTCAAACTAAACTCTGAGTTCTTCCCATCACAAGCCTGTGCCTCACCAAGAGGTGAATGAGGTCATACTAATCTGCATACTGTAGGAACCCAGCAAGTGTAGGGGGCTAAGGTAAAGTGAGGAGTCTCCTGGACCCCAGCCCTTCATGTGAAGTGTGTTCTCCGATTTGCCCCTATGAGCAACGATGTGACTCCACCTAGACAAGAGGCACCACCTTCTCGAAACCCCAGCATTCAGGAATCTGCTGAGCAAAGCTATATCCAGATTTGCCTTTCCCTTTAGGAGTTTTTGGACTCAGCCTGCACCATGCAAGATGGGCAGGTTCTTATAGTCTGTGTCAAATGGTAAAGTTCTCCCTTAAGGTCAACCCATGAACAGTGAGGTCAGGGTACTCCCACACCAAAGAGCCTGTCTAGGAGGAAGTGAGCTGGTCTTGAGCTTGAGTCTGAAATCTGCCTCAGGAAGAAGCAGCATGGCCAGCCACTGTGCCCCCGACTGGGATATAATTCCACAGAACTCATCATAGTGGATTGAGAAGATCAAAGTCACACCAGGGATGGTGCACATGGTTGTTAAAAAATATTATCAGGATAAATTAGCAAATGTTGCATGAATTGTTAAAAGTAGAACATGGGACTAGGAAGGAATTTTAAGCTTACTGTTGGATGTTTTGGGTTTTATCAAGAGCCACTGTGTTATCTGCTGTTGCATAACTCTGAGACAGAGTGGTGGAAAAATAACCTCTCTATGGTCAGAAAAAAACAGTTTAAGCCCTGGCTCACGCATTTACTAGCTGTGGAACTGTGGGCAAGTGATTTCTCCTCTCAGGGCCTCAGTCTGCCCATCAGTAAAACGATGAGAATGACTAGCACTTGTTAGGCATGTTGAAAGAATTCAGCAAGCGCACATGTCTGAGTCCCTAGCGCAGGGTGTGCTTGGTCCATGTGAAGGTTGGTCTGGTGTGACATTGCCCAGGCCACCCCCGCAGAGAGTGCCAGCCCTCAGAACAAGATGGTCTCCTCCATTCCCACAGGGAGGCCTGCTGTGGCAGTCCAGAGGCCCAGAGCTCCACGGATAGCCCACGTCCTTCATGCCAGAAATGCTGAAAGGACAGTGTTGGGGTGCAGCTGCCATATGGCGACAGCTCCTTGTTTCTCATCATTCTCTACATCTTCACATCTAAGGAGTGAGACCCACAGGGGGCTCTTTACTATGTGAGGCCACTCTTTGGTACACCAGAGGGGGAGAACTCCTTAGGTGGGGACCTGAGAGCTGTCACACTATTTTCCTCTACTCGCAGTAGAGTGAGTCTATCTTGTAACTGGGGTGGGATGGAAAATACTCTGCTTGGAAGGTTGCAAGTGGAGGTTCCCGGGCACTGGTGCCCTATCTTACCTATCTTACCCAAGCCCTGCCATGTACATTCCAGGTGAGATCTTAGAATGTCATCTCCCTCTGCTTTTGTGTACACTGGTCCAAGACTGTTCTCTTCCCTGCCTTCTTTGGAAGGTAGCTGGGTTGTGAGAAGATGAGGGGATGATCTGGGGGAGTTACTATTGGGCCATATTTCATTACTCCTGATGGCCTGAGTCTTCCTAAGTTTCCTCCTCTGTGAAGTCACAATTTAAATTCCTACCACTGGAAATGGTAGAAGCCACTGTCATTTTTACCTGCCAGTGATTTTGCTCCTTTCTGAGCAGAATAAATCCCAGGATTTGTGTTGAATAGCTGTCCTTCCACCCTCACCTCATCTGGATGAGCCAAGATCGGAGCAAATGGCATACAACAGGCTGATTTGCCATGGTTCAGGTTCCATGAGGCTGGGCAATGCCACTGGGGGCAGTGGGCTGGAGCCAGGGGAAGCTGGCAGGATCCGTGGGGGCTGGGCCCTGGGGATCTGCTCAAACGCACCCGGGAATAGGCCCATCAAAGAGAAGAGCAAGTTATTCACGGGGTTCCTTTGCCTGCCTTTGCTTTGAGTCATTTCTTTTTGAACTTCCAAAGTGACAGCCCTTCCTTGATCAAGTCTGGTGTCCCCGGACTTCTAGACAGCTCCAGAGCCCATACCAACAGAAGCAGCTTTCCTGGGCTCTTTTCATGTCCTGTCCCTGGTGGGCCTGGAGTCCTGGGCTGGTGACCCTGCTCTGTGGTAAAGCCAGAGACCTTGGGTTTCTCATAGAAGCCAATCTCATGATCTACTGCCTATCTTGTTCCAGCAACAAAGTAGTGAGTGGACAGACAAAACAGATGCAGTATTAAAAGGTACACAGTTAAGGGAATGTTATCACAGTGTCTGATGAAAGGAAAAGAGGCAGCCCCACTGGCTTGAAAGCCCCTTTCCAACACAAAGCTGAGTATGTCGCCCCAACCTCTGCTGGCCCTTTGTTGCCTATAAGGCAATGTCTGTACCCTCAGTAGGAATCTATGTCCTTGACTCTGGTTCATCTACCACTCTTCCCATCATGCTAAGCTCCAGCTGGGCTGTCCACACACTGGACTGCCTCTGCCAGTGCATTTGCACACCTCTTTGCCATTGCAGGTATTGATCCCTTGCCTGAGTTTTTTTTCCTATCTATTGAGGCCCAGCTGGAGTAGATGTCGTCACCTCTAGGAAGCCTTGGGCAGAGCGAGTTTCTCTTGCATGTAGTACAATCCACCACTTTTGTACTTGGTTCAATTTCCCCAGTACTCAGTGAGCTTACAAAGACAAACACTGTGCCTTATTGAATTCTGTGCCACTCATGCCCTGTTTGGGACTAGACCAGCCTCCAAGATGGAGGTTCTTAAATCCCAGTCCCCTTGAGACTGTCAAATAGCATGCCTAAGACTAGCTAGAGAGTGTCCCTGGCTGGCCCCTCCCAGCTGGAGGGAACAGGAGAATTGTTTTCACTAAGAAATTAGATGAGACTAGCTTTCCTGGGGAGCCAGGAATGAGTTACTCAAATATATCTGAAGTTCTGGGCTTCCCAGAAGAACTGGCATCAGAAAGAATTAAATTTCCATTCATGGAGTTCTCGTTTCAAAAGAAAACTGGCTGTATTTTTCCTCCATAAACTAATTGCTTGGCTGAGAAAGGATGTAGAAAACAGCACGGGGAAGGATTTTTGCCATCACCTGCCTTTTTGGAACTGAGGACGGTGTCTCCGTTCAGTTGGAAAACAGATAAGAGATTAATGGCTCTTTCCAGGGGGTACTGGAGGCCATGGGAGATGTCACCTAGAAGGTGCCCAGCAAGGGACTTAGCAAACGTTGGCTCTCTGTTATCGAATCGGCCATACTTTGGTCAGGACCCTAGAGCCACAGGGCTAATCTCACCCTTGCTATTTTAAACCAAAGTATAATTGGGTCCATGATGGCCTTTTCCAAGATGGCCGCTGAGTTTCTCTAGGAAGGAGGTTGGATTTGGAGACCCAGATTTAGAAAAAGCTAGTGCTATAACTGCCCCCCAGGAACCAAGGGACCATCTCCAAACAATCCCATCTCTCCCTTTTCAATGGCCATGCTATTCCAGGGTGGGCTTTTCAGGGCACTGCCAGGGAGATAGGCCCAAGGTACACATTCAACTCTCGTCCCTTTATGACAAGAGAGACGAGATTTCACACACACACACCCAAAAGGAAGTTTCTTTTCACATACACTTGGCAAAATAATCAATTCTTATCTTATTCATTCTTCCCAAAAGAAGCTACCCACCAAGAGACACAGAGATTACATTGCATGTGCTGGCCAGAGCCTTGTACCAGGAAGGTGGTATTTTTACAAAGACAAGGAGGAGCAGTGAGTTTCCTCCAGCTTCATCCCCTCCAACTAATCACAAACAAGCAAACAGAACCTTTATCGTAGAGTGCTGTGGGCACAGCTGGCTAGCCAGTGAACGACAGAAGGTCAGGGCCTGAGCTGGGGAGCAGTACAGGATGGTAGTGGGCCAAGCCCCATGCAAGTTAGGTGTGAGGATGAGGGTCCTCTGCCTATGGCCTAGGGAGCATCCTGAGGTCATACTGACCCAGACTGGCAGGTGTCCAGTGCCAGAAGCCTCTGAAGGAGGTTGCAGAGGACAGCAGAACAGTGACCCCAAGAACCCTAATCTTTTCCACAGCAGCACGGAAGAGTAGAAAACTTGTCTCCTCCACTCCTAAGGAGAGGGAGGGCAGGGAGTTGCTGGCCAGCCTCCCACTCCCCAGCACCTGCACGGTCAGCTTGCCATGAGATTCACAAACTCAAAGAACAAAAGCAAGAGGTCTGGTAACCAGAAATCTGGGGCCTTGCTTGTGAGTGGACTTCAGCTTGGGCCCAACTGTGGCTGGTCAAGTAGGGAGGGGAAGCCTGGGCCTCTCCCAGCTGCATTGCCCAGAGCTGCAGGAGACTGCCCAGAAGGTACAGAGCTCACTGCAGAACATGGGACCACCAGTCTTCTCCTGGGAGTTGGGCAGGGTTGCCAGCTCCACGCTCCTGAGCCCAGTCACTGCCATTCACAGAAAAGGGGGCTTGCCCACAACAGCCTCGACTCCAGCAGGTTCTCCGTCTCACTGGGCTAGAAGGAGCTTAAATATTCCAGTGCCACCTCGTATACAAATTTATACTGTTCCTGAGAGGAGACGAGAGAGAAAGGGGGAGGAAAGAGAATATGCATTCGCGTTAGGTATAGAGATTTTAGAGAAAACTTCATCTATATCTGCACTGAAAATCAATTCAAAAGCATCCACATGTGGCCATCCTTCAAAGTTCTGCCTACTTCTAGCCAGGCTTTCTCGAATGTTCACGTGAGATCCTTCTGCCCCCCCACCTTTTAACCATTTTTTTACATCAGTGCTTCTCAAATTTTGATATGCACACAAGGCAACTGGGGATATCTTTCAGAAATGCAGGTTATGATGCAGCAGATCTGGACTGGGACTCAAGATTCTAACAAGACCCTAGGTGATGCTGCTGCCGCTCTGTGGTCCTCACTTTGAGTTGGACCTCATTGGAGTAAGGTTTCACTCTGAGTAGGGTATAAAGGCTCTTAAATTTGGTTGTGCATGGTCTGTCTCCACCATTATATAAGATCTTCTGTAGGCTCTGCCTTCCTACTCTCTCTCCCCAGTGTCCTGATTCAATGCTTTATACTACTGAAAACATAATGTGCACTCTACTAATCCAGAATCCCTTCTTTTAAGCCTGAATTAGTGAGACTTTCCTAAGGAACAGGCATCAGAAGTGCCAGGATTACTATTTGGATTGCCCGGCAGGGAAGGAAAGTCATAGGGATCAGAAGTTGGTGGGAATGTCAGACAACAGTGCAGGCAAAGGGCATAGGCTGTAGGGACTCAGGGAGCACCTGGCTACCGAGGGTTTCTACTACTTGATGTCATTTCTTAAGGTCCAGGGAACTACAGTGAGCTCGACGTTGGAGATCAGTTCCTGGGACACTCACCAGGGTCTCCACCATGTTGGATTTGTTGTTGCGCAATGTTTTCACAATGTGGAACACATCGATGATGTTTTGCTGCTGGATCATCTCACACACGCTGCAGATAGCACAGAAGGTTCCACTGCGGCCTCCCCCATTTCTAAACACAGAGTGAAGAGATTAGCCACATTCCTGGTTACTCCTCCCACAGGTACCTGCTGATCATGAAGCTGCATCCAAGTAGTGGGGTCTCCGCCATGGCAAGGCAGGGGAAGGTCTGAGCCATGAGTTATGATTTGAATCCCATCTGTGCCATTAACTTGCTTTGACCTGCTTACTTCCCCTATTAATGACCCCTGAGAGTTCAAGTAGCTTGATATCTCCTTGGTTCTGTAGGAGTGTGACCGTTACCCATGGCACACTGACCCAGTCTCCAGGGCAGGGTGAAAGTATGCCTTTGCACGCTTGATTCTTGTCTGAAAGGATGCTGTGGGTCCATCCACACATCCAGTGAATACAATGGCAATTTACAGGTGGTTTTTCCCTGTAGTTCTTCACATATTTCACGAAGGCCAGCAATATTCTGTTAGCCTAGGGCCGGCCAGCTCAGGCTTAGGGCCAGGGCTGGGGTGGGTCTGAGCCATGCTATCCTGAAATGACTTGTGCAACTTGGTTTAAGCAAGGCCCCAGTGATCTTAAGTATAGAGAGAAAGTGCTCTTGGAAGGGCCATTCTTCTGTTATGCCTTCATTCCTCTATTATTCCATAAGCTATCTTCATGGAAACGCCCCTCAAATGCTTTATAGTGAGTTCCCTTAGGAGTATGTCTGAGTTGCAGCTCCTGGGCATGTTGCCAAGAGCAACTAATGATTTCATTTAATGACCTGAGTCTAAAGAACATCTGGATGGAAACTAAGGCACTCAGTCAACCTCCCAGATGGTTTCTCTAAAAGACAGGCAATGGCCAGATGTTTCAAGTACAGTAGCCGTCCACGTGCTAGCCAGTGCCTACATCTCAGCATCCGTGATGCTATGAGACCTGTGAGGATGCCAAGGACCCTGTTGGTAGAAGACACTCTGTGCTTTCCTCTGGCCCACACTACTCGTCATCTTGATTTGAAGGATATGGATAAAAAGATATCCCTGCCAAAAACAGGCAAAAAAAAAAAAAAAAACACACAGAGCGGTGGGGGGGGGAGGGGGGAGGGAGGAGGGACCTTCTAGAAGGAGGGATAGTATTTTCTCAAGAGGAAGAGGTTGACTGGATGCAGGGATCTGAAGGCCCCGTGGAGTGAGAACCCGCAGAGATAGATGTGGTTCTGTGCTAATGGTGGGGTCACTTGAATGAGTGGGAGGGAATTGGAGGAAACAGGGATAAGGGATCAGCTGCCACTTTGTGGGAGATGAACCGAGCCAGCTTGGCTTGGGTGACATGACGTCACCCATCAACCCGACACAGGACACCACACAGTATTTTGCTGGACCCCTGTCTGAGATTCGTGTCTCTTGGGAAGGGACTTTCGCTACAGGTGGTGGTTCTTAAGCTCTGAGTGTGCTCATGTATGCATGGATGTTTAACCTTGTTTAAGTTCTGCCACTTTTTTTGGACATGTGTGCATCTGCCCATTTGAAAGAGGGGAACAATGAGCTAATTTTGTGAAGACAAGCTCAGCCCTGAGGTCATGACATGTTACTAATGCCTCTACTAGCTCCAAAATATTCTTATTATCATCGTTTAAATTTGCTTCACACAAGTTTTAAAGAGGGAGGCCTTTCTCAGCTGCTTCTCCTCAAACCATTTAAGTTCTAAGAAGCAAAGAGCATGGCTGTGACTCCAGCCTTCTGTCCCTGGATGTGATGGCTGCAGCTCTGTTACAAGGATCTGAAATCCCTGAAGAATCCTCTCTGATCCTGTTATACTCTCATGGTTGCCTTACTGACACTTGCTATTTTTAAGTAATCATGTTTACAATATCTGCATATTGGCAACCATGATGCTATTGGTGTTGGTGGATAAACTGTTTCTATATTCTAGCTACTTCCTGCCAAAGTCTGATAGTTTAAAGATGACCTAACTCAACACACGCCATGGACAGATGAGGAAACTGAGGCTCACAAAATTTATTCTTCTTGATGTGGTGCAGCCTGTCAGCCACAGCTCTCTGGGTACTGATCTCTACCTCGCATGATGAATTAGGGTCCATTGGACTGGGTCATTCCAAGACAGAAGGTAAAGACTCCAGTTCATCCCAGTAAGAGAAATAAAAAACACTGGTCTTCCCAGTGTACCTTGGGAAGGAGCTCCCAGGCTCCTCAGCTCCATCTGTCGGTCTCAGGGCAGTGCCTACCCATCATGCTCTCTGCGCACCTGTGCTTCAGGAGGCAGACACAGTGGACAAGGACTTTGCCAACAGGCAGTGTCCATTAATGGAGGCACTTTAGCTTAGAGTCCAGTAAATGCAAACCACAGCTCCTTTCCTGACTACTGGACCTTTTACCCTGTGCTGTTGGCTTCAGTTTTCTCACTGTACAATGATAACATCCACCTTGTAAATAGAATGAGGCAATTCATTTAAAATGTCTGACTTAAAGGAAGCTCCGACCATACCTTCCTTTTGCGTCTTCAGGAAATAATAGAGGAGACTCTAGTAAAGGGGAACCGCTTCTTTGGGACTGGCTGGACCCTACTAGAGGGTGGGACCTTCCCTCCTATTGGGGAATGGGCGTGGGGTCCACCACTATCTCCATGTTATATACCTATAATATGTCATGTAAGAGTAGTTCAGGCCAACAGCCAGAAACCTCATCCCAATAAAGGATGCAATTCCCTGGGCAACACTGCCACTGATCTTCAAGGGGCATTGAGATGCGGCACAGCTGGGCTTGCTGAGGACTGGTGTCTGGGGTTAGCAGCATCCACAAGGACGCTCTTGCACCCACCATTCTGTGGCTGTGGAGTCACCTCCATAGTACTCACAGGCAGTGGACCACAGTGCGTCCCTCCCTCCCATCATACTGCTCCTGCCACTTCTCCAGCCGTCGGACCACTTTGAGTAGAGAGCGCTTGGAGGGAGGCGTGTCTCTGTAGGCAGGCCAGCCGATGTACTGCAGGTGCTGGACTATACGATACCCATCCTGTGGCTGAGAAGAGACAGGCTGTTAGGGCTGTTCTGTTGGGGATGCTTGGGGCTGCGAGCCCTCCGGATTCCCTGGGGACTATAGCATTGCAGTGGTAGACAGACCAAATGAGGTCAAAGCCATGTCCCGACAGGGGGAGCCCCAGACTGTCACCATCCCTATTCCTGTACCTTTTGTGCACACTGCTTCTCCTACCATGGCTGTCCTATCTAGAAAACTCATCAGTCTTCAAAACTCAATTCAAATATATCCCTTTGCTTAGGAAAGCTTTCTTGATGCTACTGGTCAGAATTCCTCTCTCTCCCTGAGGCTCATGTGCCTGAACACATTTTATCTTCCCTTAGGGAATGAATACTGAGGGTAAGGTCAGTAGAGACAAACAGGTACCACTCCCTGGATTGCTAATCAGTCTCCAATACTCCACCACTCAGCCAGAGAAGATCACCATGGAAGCAACCAATTATTTTTCCTCGTAGTGTTTTTCAGGGCATAGCCTAAAGCTTACAGGATCCAATCAACAGCTGTACCAACCCATGCCAAAACAGTGTGACACGGTGGGGAAGAGCTAATGTCTGGGAAGTTTTGTCTATACGGTAGCAAGTGCGTCAGGAAACAGGCAGATGGCAGGCTGGATGTCGCGCTTGGCATCGGTGTGTGTTGGAGTCACTGCTGGGTCTGGAGCCGGAACAGCAAAGGCATTACTTCCCCAAGGAAGAGATTATCAGGAGAGTATAACACAGACTCTGGGCTGTCTCAGTGGGATCCTCCCCCTGCAGGCACCATCTGTTTGGGGGAGGAGGGGCATGGAAAGCAACAGAGGCCGTATACTCACCCGAGCCATGTTACAGATCCGGAATATTCTGTGGATGATGTCCTCGTCAATGTCTGCAGAGACGAACTCCACCTGGATGGGCCCGTAGCACCCAGATGTCTTCTCAGGCCAGTACTGCATGCAGAGCTGGAATAGGGAAAGAGGTCACAGGAGGTCCGAGACAAGGGGCGAAGTCAGGCTCATTTGTCATCAAACCTTTCTTAGCGCCAGCAGGACACACAGCCTGGAAAGGTAGAGTATTATACATAAATTCTGACTCAGCTTCCCCTTTGGGGAGCAGCTGCCTGGTTCCGGTTGTTGAAGCATCAAAGCTCTGACCACAGAAACACTGGGCTTAAACACATTTGCTCTGCTAATTTCAAACCATTTGTAAGGTGAGCTGGGCCCCAGGCTCCTCCTCTGTACAATGGAGAGAACATCTACCTGAGGTGCCACAATCGGGATGAGATAGAGCACTCACAGGGAGGGGCAGACTTT